GCCGTTCCTCCGGAATGCAGCAGCCCTTTCAGCACCGGGGCCGGGGACAGCGCCTGCGGGGCGCCGGGCTGCCGGCCCCAACGCCGGCGCCTCCCTCCCGGCCAGGGACCTCCGGGGGAGAGGGGAAGGGGGCACGTGTGCGAGTCCACCCCCTTTTTCCCCTTCTTTTTTTTGATTTTTCTGTTTTGTTTTGTTTTGTTTGGCTGGAGTTGTGGTTAAAGTTGAAAAGTGATCCCTGCATATATAATCTGTGCCCATAGGTGATGGTGATTATAGGCCGCCCTTTTCCTCCCAGTTTATTGTAATCAGAATTTGTCAGCACTCTCAATTTGGTAGTGGAAGCTTCCATTTTGTGAGGAAGGGGTGTTGGTTTCTTCTAACATGGAGAAAAGTCTGCAGAGTTTGAAGGTGGGGGATGGGGCCCCATTCATGCTGAACATTACCATTTTGATTGCTTTGATGCCATTTTTGGAGGGGGGAGGGGATAGAATACCCTACTCAGCAGAGCACAAAGATGTTTAATCACTGTATAGAATCAAATCAGATACTTTCTTTTTTAAAGCAAATCTGACACTACATGATAGCTAAGGGCTGTTAGTCCTTTTTTGCAGTGTAAAACAGCAAGTTGTTGACTCTAATACTACTACACTGAGTAGAAGATTTTTTTTTTTTAAACAAGGTAACAGCCTTTACTGCAACAATGCATCTTTATGTGTTCTTTCTTCAATATGGAAATAGTTTTACTGTTCTAAGTGGGTATTTAGAACATACATTTGATCATTTTCCCCTGTATTGTAGCAACTATTTCAAGGCTGTTTAAATTTTTATGATGATAGTAAATGAGAAGCTATTTATTATGTGTCATGTTGGAATTTAGATAAGGCAGAGAGACACATTTGAAAATACAGTTTGAATGTTCTGATTCAGCTTGGTGAAAAAGGTTTTCGCTAAGCTTCCGCAACATATTTATGTATAAGCCAAGCTAACTAGTAAACAGTCGTCGTGTATTTATGACTTGCCTTTCTCGTAATCTTATAAATAAATCTATAAGCTGTGAAGTAATTAAACATAAAATACTAAAATTCTGTAAACAGTAAATTTGGCCTGGCGGGAAACCTACTATTTTTAGGCAAAACCCTAGATTTCTTTTACTGATTTCAACATCCTGTGCAACAAGAGCTTTTAAATAAGAGACTAGCTGGTGATGTGGTGTCCCCTTGCTCCAGACTGCCACCTCTGGAGGCCTAAACTGAAATCTTTCTTGGGTCACAAGTGAAATGAATTTGCAGGTCTTAGCCTTTGACCATTGTGTAACTTTGCAGACTTGCTATAATTAGTAGTTGCTCCTTAGGTAATGGCTTATACGTGAACTATCGGTCCTTGAGGGCATGAAGAAAGTGCACTGAAGGCTACTGAGACAATAGATAGGCTAACGTTGGAGCCGTTTAGTAGTTTCAAGCTCTTGCTTTTGTGGCTATACCAAAACACTGATATTAACTTAAGTAGGCAGTGTAAGTAGGGAGGTTATTTTTACATATGTATTTACATTCCTTCCCTCCTTGCCACCCCGAAGATTTGTTTGGGCACAACTAATTCATAATTCAATAATGTATACCTTTGATTGTGCATGCACTGAATACAAAAGATGCTAAAATTGCATTTCAATTAAACTGCACATGTGGATGATGAAACAGATAGTAAAATGAATGGATGATCACGTCATCCACATCTGTTAGAAATATAGCAGTAGTGAGCGTTATCTTTCAATACCCCTATTCATCAGTTTTCCATTGTGGCCATTGGCATTTGTGGCAATATTTCCTTTTCCAGAAAGTTACAAATAAAGACAGAAAGAACTGAATGACAAACTGAACTTCTGGTGCATGCACAGTTGGATTTTATATTGCAACCTAATTAAGGATCTCTGGCCAGTCATGGATGTTTCTTTTATGTTGATGGTTTAGAGGAATATGGAAATAAATGTAGTTTTAGTATTTTCTCATTGTTTTCAAATAAGTACTGTAGAGCCATCATTTTCATTATTGAAAAGTTGCAGCTTCAGTCAATACTTAATTTGGCATCTAACTCAGAAGGACAAAAGTTAGACTTTTGTTAGAAGTGTATCTTTCGTATACTATAGTTTTGATGAATTGTAATAGCATTTGAGAGTGGGTTACCTCTTCTTTAACAAGATATGATGTGTGAAGACTCCATTAGTTGGTCCAGTGGTTTTACACCTTCAATCTACAGCACATGCAGAGCAGCGGTAACATTTTTATCTAAATTGTCAAGCAACAAGCATTTATATGTAAATAAAGAGCTATCATAAGAGCCAGCATTGGCCTTAAAAGCACACCAGAGGTGCTCTGCTGCATGTGTTTCTTGCTTTCTTTATGTCCTTAAAGAGTCATCAAGAGTGTTTTAATTTTAGAAAGTTGTCTCTTATTAATTAATAGATCAAGACAAAGAAATACACAAACCTTTAACCTCCAGTTGGAAGTTGTTACTGGCATAAGTATTAGGTGGTAAGCCAGGTCTTAAAAATTAACAATGAGCATGTGTGGGCTACTATATTTTCGACTGCGATGAACTCTGAATTCAGACAGCCTGTCCTGGAGCGCAGTAATAAAAATATGTCTTCCTGAAAGACATTATGTATATGCCATTCACTTGTGCACTGCCTCATTTCTTTACCATAATTTACTATCTATGCAGAAAATCAACATTAGTTTCAGGCAGAGTCTCCCAGCCTGTGTTATTGCTGGTTTGTATTTTTGGGTAGTATATCTGAAATTAAATCGCTGACTGTATTTTGCCTGTGGTGATCACTAGCAAAGCCTGTTTGTGGAAAGCGTTAGACTTCTTAGAATTTAAGTACAGTTCTTATGCAAGTTGTTGGAAATGATTTAGCTCAAGATGTCTGGTTTTACTGATGTTGCATCTTTGTTTTGGGGAAAAGGAGGAAGTGTTTCTTTGGTTTGTTGAAATTCATGCTGTGCTGTGCCTGGAAATGGCAGCATTGTTTACACATGTTAAAGGGTAAATTATTGACATTTGCCAAAGCTCAGTATGTCATACGGCTGGGTACTTTCAAAATTGTTGAAGTAAAATAAGGGTTATAAGCTTCAGTGAAAACTGAGGTAAAACCTGAAAGGTGTTTCCAAATCAAGTTGAACCTAATGTCAAACTCTGTCCCAAGGTACATCCAGCACTCCTGTTTGTTGTGGCAAGAATTGCATCTATGTATGACTCGCTGAAGTCAAGGGAGACAGGGTGATGAGCTCCCAGTTAAAGTATTAAACTTTTCAATCACTGTGTTGAGTCTTTAAACACAAAGACAACAGGTATTAAATATGGGCTTGACTTTGCAGTTCTTCCACACGTTGAGGCCCCACTGACTTTGCTGGGAAACCTGAACAACTGCAGAATCAAATGAACTTACTGGATCAAAGTAAAGATTAGTTCTGGATTGTAATTCAGAAAGCTTCAGTTCCTTTTTTTTTTTTTTTTTTATTGCTAGAATCAGCTAGTAATTTATTGGTTGCTTTGCCATCTGTAGAAAAAGTGACAAAACTAGGGAAGAATTTGCCTTCAGCTCCTTGGAGGAGAAACTTGGGAATATAGTTTGCATAATAGCAATCCTAGCATTCTGTTTGTGCTTTCAGTAATACCATATTGAGATTCCCTGTTCATATTGGGGAAAAAGGGTAATAAAGGACATTTTCGTAGAGGTGAAACACAATGGAAATATGTATACTTGTGGCTTTCTGCCTTCCATTAGGTTGCCCTTACAAGATTCATGGAAATTGCACATCCGTAATGAAAATGTGTACTGGAGGGGGTTAGAACCACCTTTTGTTTGGTAGCTGCTTGACTGGCATGTGAAA